GCGCCTACGCATATTTTTCTCCACCGTTTTTTGTTGTCTTCCAGTAACTTTCGGTTCCATAAACGGGCATCGGAACTTGCAAATATCTGAATAGGCCGCGCGCGAAGTCCTGCGCGCCCTTACTTATTTCATGTGGCACGGATGAGAGCGAGAGGATAGCGCAGTTGCTCACCTTGGAGAGCAACTGCGCTAGGCATTGTCTTTGTCATCTTTTACAAGCGCTTGTACCTTAACTTTCCGGCATTCCTTTCGGAACAGCAAAAAAAAAAAGTTTGTCGACGAAACGTTTTACGGTGGTGCTGTCGACGAAACGATTGTCGACGAAATGTCACAGTGTCGACGAAACGTGTGTCCATGAAACGTGTGTCCACGAAAAGTTGTCCACGAAACGTAATTCCACGAAGCGAGTTTCGACGAAATGATAGGGACCCACCGGTCGCCATCGCCACGACGTCCGGCTTCGCCGATGCACCGACCCCGACGTGAAAGCCTGTCGCCCCTCGCTCCTCGCCGGGGAAACTAGGCGCGGCAACCCCTGGAGGTGGAGTTGCCGAAGACGACCGACGTAAAGAGCCTCCAAGAACGACGGAGCGCTCCCACTCTCGCGACGCTACGCATCACAACGACGCTCCTGCTTCGGTGTCCAACAACCTAAACGTTGTTATCGACGGCCTCGACTCATCGGCACTCGTGGACACCGGAGCAGACTACTCAGTCTTGAGTGGGAGGCTCTCTCGCCGCCTTCGAAAAGTCATGACGCCGTGGGATGGACCACAAATAAGAACCGCCGGAGGACACCTGATCACACCAGTCGGGCGATGCACCGCTCGCGTCGAGATCCACGGTGAGACGTGCCCTGTAAAGTTCGTCGTTCTGCAGGACTGTTCGAGGGACGTTATCCTCGGAATGGACTTCCTCTGCGAGTATGGCGCCGTCATCGACCTCGGAGCAAACCGGTTGACGCTGCGAAAGCCTGTTTCACCACCGGAGGAACCCAAAGCGACGTCATCTGCGGTCCGAGTCCTCGCCAGCCACGTGAACTTACCGCCGCGGTCAAGTGTTTTCGTACCCGTCGGGATCACCGAAGATTTCTGCGGCGAAGTTCTGCTCGAAGGAAGCCTCCAGTTGCTTCTGGGAAGAGGAATAGGCGTCGCAAGAGGAGTTGCTGAACTTCAGGATGGCCGCACTGTGGTCCTGGTCACGAACTTCCGAAATGAAGCGCAACACCTCACAAAAGGTGCAGCCGTGGGCCAGGTCGAGGAACTCCAAAACTCCGCCGCTGTCGCCGCCATTACTGACGAATTCTCGCCACCTCAGCAAGACAGTGCGTCGCCAGCGCAGCTCGACATTGACCCTAAACTCCCGGGCCCGAAACGACGACAGTTGATTAACCTTCTCGCCGAATACCGCGACTGCTTTGCCACGTCGTCGAAGGTGCGCCAAACCACCGTTGCGAAGCACCGCATCGTTACCGAGGACGACGCGCGCCCGGTGCATCGATCGCCATACAGAGTCTCCGTTAAAGAAAGGCAGGCGATCCAGGAGCAAGTTCAAGAAATGCTGAACGACGACATAATTCAACCTTCAAGCAGTCCTTGGGTCTCCCCAGTCGTACTGGTTAAGAAGAAAGACGGGACGCTTATGTTCTGTGTAGACTACCGGCAGCTGAACACGGTGACGAAGAAAGACGTCTACCCACTCCCCCGCATCGACGACACTCTAGACCGGCTGCGCCACTCTCGATATTTCTCATCGATGGACCTGAAGAGCGGCTACTAGCAGATCGAAGTCGACGAAAGGGACCGAGAAAAGACAGCCTTCGTCACGCCGGATGGACTGTACGAGTTCAAAGTGATGCCCTTCGGACTGTGCACGGCGCCAGCAACTTTCCAACGTGTCATGGTCACCGTACTGGCAGGACTGAAGTGGCAGAGCTGTCTCGTCTACCTCGACGACGTCGTCGTGTTTTCCAGCGACTTCGACGAGCACTTGCGACGACTCCGAGCAGTTCTCCAAGCCATACGGACCGCCGGACTCACCCTGAAGCCGTCAAAGTGTCGGTTCGCTTATGACGAACTGAAGTTCCTCGGCCACGTGGTTAGTAACGAAGGCGTCCGCCCAGACCCCGAGAAGACTCGTGCCGTCGCAGCATTTCCAGCGCCAAGAGACAAGAAGGCCGTCCGAAGGTTCCTTGGGCTATGTGCCTACTATCGGCGCTTCGTTCGAGATTTCGCAAGAATTTCCGCACCGCTCACACACCTCACGAAGGACGCCGAAAAGTTCGAATGGGCCGATGAACAGCAGCAGGCATTTGACGAGCTGAAGCGACGACTGCAGACTCCTCCTGTTCCTGGACATTTCGACCAGGATGCGGAAACCGAGATTCACACGGACGCAAGTAACGCAGGGCTTGGCGCGGTTTTGGTTCAAGTACAAGAAGGCACCGAGCGAGTCATCGCCTACGCAAGTCGGACATTGACCAAGGCGGAGAGAAATTACTCCACGACTGAGAAAGAATGCCTTGCGGTCGTCTGGGCAATCACGAAGTTTCGTCCGTACTTACACGGGAGCCCGTTCCGGGTAGTCACGGACCACCACTCGCTCTGCTGGCTTGCGAACCTCAAGGACCCGTCAGGACGCCTCGCGCGGTGGAGTCTCCGACTACAAGAGTTCAACATGACCGTCGTCTACAAGTCAGGCCGCAAGCACAGCGACGCCGACTGCCTGTCCAGAGCTCCCGTCGCAACACCTTCCGGCAGCAGCGACGACGATGACGACGAGTGTTTTCTGGGCGCAGTGAACATCGACGACATGGCCCGGCGTCAACGAGACGATCCTGAGCTGCGCGCACTAATAGAGCACCTGGAAGGGCGCGGAAGTGCCATGCCACGTGTTTTTTCACGAGCGCTGCCGGCCTTCGCCATTAGACAAGGTGTACTCTACAAAGAGAACTTCGGGAACAACAACTCGCCATGGCTGCTGGTAATCCCGACCGACCTTCGGGAGGAGATCTTTCAAAGCCTGCCACGACGACCCGACGTCCGGACACCTTGGTTACAGCCGGACCCTGGCACGTATTCGTGAAAAGTATTACTGGCCCAAGCTCCCCAAAACCGTCCACCTGTACACGCGATCATGTCATGAATGCCAGCGACGAAAGAAACCTCCGACGAGGCCCGCCGGACTCTTGCAGTCAATTCCTCCGCCAACAGCACCCTTCCAGCAGATCGGAATGGATCTACTTGGCCCTTTTCCGCCGTCGACGTCCGGAAATCGCTGGATCATCGTCGCCACAGATTATCTCACGCGGTATGCCGAAACGAAAGCCCTTCCTTCAGGAACTGCTGTGGAAGTTGCCAAGTTTTTCATTGAATCCATCGTCCTCCGGCACGGCGCTCCCGAAGTCCTGATCTCAGACCGTGGATCATCATTCATGGCACAACTGACCCAAGAAATCTTCCGACTCAGTCACACCAGCCATCGTCGTACAACTGCGTACCACCCGCAGACCAACGGGCTGACGGAGCGACTCAACAAGACAATCGCCGATATGATCTCTATGTACGTCGACGTAGAGCACAAGACGTGGGACGAGGTGCTGCCCTACGTCACGTTCGCCTACAATACGGCGGTTCAAGAGACCACTGGATTCACCCCTTTCCAGCTGGTACATGGTCGGAAGGTAACGACCATGCTGGACGCCATGCTGCCCCATGAGCCATCTGACAACAAGAGCGACGACGCCCAGGCGGTTGCTCAACGCGCCGAAGAAGTTCGCTAGCTCGCCCGACTCCTGATTCAAGACCAGCAACGCGTCGACGCCGGCCGCTACAACCTTCGTCGCAGGGACGTCCACTTCCAGCCCGGAGATAGGGTGTGGGTATGGACGCCCATCCGTCGCCGCGGCCTCAGTGAGAAACTGCTGAAACGGTATTTTGGACCATACAAGGTACTTCGTTGCCTCGGCGAGCTGAACTACGAGGTGATGCCCGACGGAACACGAACATCGTCACGCCGCCCACCACGACCTGAGGTCGTCCACGTCGTGCGCCTGAAGCCGTACTACGCTCGATAGGACTGTGGACCTTTTGTGCTCCAAAAGACTCTTTAGTTTATCGTTCTTTTTTTTTATTTTGATTTGTTTTACACTGCATCGGGGCGATGCACTTTTAAAGGGGGGAGTAATGCCGCGCGCAAGGCTGAGAAAGCAACGCTCGGTCACGGTCCTCCAGAAAGTTCCCGTTTATTCATGTACCGCACGTAACTTCTATCATTTATCCCTGCTTTTGTTTTCTAGAAAGTGCGTGTTCATTCTCGCCCCGATCACGCGACGCTCGAACCGCTTTCGCCGAATCTTCGAGATAGCGGCGCACTCTAGATAAGAGGCCGCCCGCGACCTTGTCGAGTCAGTTTTCGCCCAGCGTTCGACTCTGCTGCTACGCCGACTTCGACGCCCGCGACGCTCCGTTATTATCTTTTGTACCCTTTTATTTTTGGCACAAGTTCGCCACATTAAACGTTTATTTCTTTCTGTTTATTTGTTGTTTATTGGTCACCACCCGTGACAATATGTATAGATAGATAAATTTATTTATTTATTTTCTTTGGCCAGAGGGGGGAGGGGGGGTAGCTTTTAAAGGATGAAGTTAAGGGCATGTCTTGGGTCGAGTCCCATAGGGATTTTTTTATGCACAGAGCTCAGGTGTTGGTACACATTTTCATTGTGGTGATGTGGTGAGCCTCATCAAGCTGCATTTCTGCAGCTTTTTCTCCGGCCTCCCATTCACCACTTGTATTTGTGGTGAAAAATAAAGGTTGTATCGTATCATATCTATATGTGCACATTTTATGCGGTTTTCAATGATTGACTAACACTCAACATTTGTTTGGCATTACCGAATTCTTTGGAAATTCCATCGTCACTATAGTTAGTTGATTTCTATATGCAATTGAATACTTATGGAAATCCTGGGCAGGGCCATGCCATTTTATACATATAAATGCATATGGGAGGTTGTTTCTGCTCTTCCGTTGAGGAAATCGCGGAACAAGAATATGATGCATTGCTGTTTTTCAGGGCCGCTTATGTCCATAGTCTCGACACTCACACCAACAAGTTTGGGCTGGTACAAGCCGCCAAGTCTGATCGCTCGGTCTGTGCCTCTGTGCAGGGAGCCAGTGCATCCCGAGGGGCGTGAATTTCACCCGCCTGTCGGAGCCCAGGCTTGTGGTGGTGAAGAATGAGCCCCTCCTGCTCCAGTGCTCCGTGTCCAGTCTGCCGGAGCTGGCTCCCGTCAACGTCACCTGGAACCACGATGTGAGCCCCCCTCCCTTGGTTGGAACTTTCCGCTTTAACAGCGTGAATGCTGGAGGGGAGGCGAGTCCCCTTTCTCCTCGTTGGCTCTGCTACACCACAAAGTCTTTGTGGGACGAGCCTGTCCTGCAGATTTCAGTGTTTCCAGGTGTTTCCAGGGCCGCGTTTGCAATACAAGCCGCGAGAAGGAGACGGTGCAAGCGTCTCCAAGCTTGGCACAGTCTCTCTGCCCACTCTCCTTCTGCCCACGCGGCACCTCACGCGTACGCATGGGCACCCAATCTGCGCAGGAGATTGGGTGCCCATATCTTTAACCTTCAACGAAAAAGGAAATTTTTTTTTCTTTTTTGTGCAAGGTTTAAATTGCAAGTATCGTGCAAGGTTTGAATTGAATATTTTGACCTGCATTTTTTTTTTGCTTTTATTTTGGGATTATTTGCAAAAATAAAGCATATTTCAAAATTGTAAAAATGGAAGCATACTTCGAAATTGCTCTTTGCTCAAAATGAGTCTGACGACATAAATATTACTCTAACATATTTTTTTCGTGGAAAGTTTGATTTATGACGTACATCGGCAATCCAGGCATAAATATAAAAAGAAAAGGCTTTTTAGAGCTCTGTACGATTCGATTAAGAAATATGCTTCTTTTTCAGGTAGACGTGCCAATATGCCGGAATCAGTCCTAACTGAAAATGTTGCTTGTGACGTAAACATTTATTTATTTATTAACTATACCTTCAGAGCCTGAGGGTATTATAAAGAAAGAAAGCAGATACCAAAAAAAAAAAAAAAAAAGTAACCTGTAACAAATTAACAATATAATAATAATATAAAAAAAAAAGAACAGTCAAACAGGTCATGGGTAATTGCAAAACATGGTTAGTGATATATTCGCAAGTCCAGCAAAACGGACACCACCAAGCGGGGAAAACCGGGAAGCAGCCGAACCAGGCCGCTCCGCGCCCCTCCGCGTCTCTAGTGACTTTCGTGGACATGTGTTGTCGGCGCAGGGTGCGAACAATGTAATTTGACGGAAGTCCCAAAATTTCTTAAGTTTGCCTGAGTTTTCATTCGTGTGGTGAAGTCTCAGAAGATTGTTTCCTCCCTTCACGTGTTTGAAAGCCCGTTTACTCTACAACACACGGTCACGTGCTTTCGATTTCTTGGATGGGGAGGAATCACGAAAAACATTTTGATTTGTGGTCTGTCTCGAATCACATTCAAAGTGACGACTACTTGGTGGTTTCTTTATAAGGGTGTAGAACAGTGGACTGAGGACGACAGACGAGGTGTTTTACTGGAGGGAACACCACTGTTGCAGTCAAGTGAATGGGAAGGTTTGATAGCTGCTTTTTTTGAGTTTGGGGATGTTCGGTTAGCTTCAAGTTTGAGCCACCCACGCCGGTCGGTGCGTTGGCTATTCATCTTGGCTGCTTTTCACCAAAAAAGCCTCTGGACCACACTGAAGGAGTTGGGCTGATTTCGCAATGACTTGATTCAGGAAAACCTGCTCGCTGCATATGATTAGCGAGGGAAATTATCTGCTTTTAAAAGGTGGGAGACGCGTCTCGCAAAGTTAGAAGCTGTCATGGCATTATGATCTATCGCGCCTCCAATATTTATATATACCCCCGTCGAAGCCAACAGCAATATATACGTCTACATTGCTCAGGTTGACCGGCCACAAAAACTACTATTTTTCTCCGTTCAGGATTCGAAGTCAAGTTCAGTGCAGAGAGGTTCTGCGTAAATCTTTGATGAAGATTCTCTTCAGTTTGTCCGCATTCGTCTCCGTGCTACCGGCTAGGACCATTTGGTTATGTTTAAGTAGTAGCTCTCTGTCTTTCAAATGTACTTTTATTCAGCAGTTAACCTAATAGCTAGTCAACTAAGCTCATATTTCAACCCGAAGAATATACTAATATCGCTTTAGTGGGACATAGTACGTAATATAATACATAACCCGCTCATCAAAATGACTTCTCGATTGCTACTAAAACCTGAAGTGAAATGCGACTATCAGCTGCTTAGTGGGGCACCAGCGGGTTAACATGCTCCTTGGCTCAAGAAGCGCTTACTTAATTTTCACAATTTTCCTGCAGCCTGTGTTGTTGACCGAGCAGACGACTGGAGCTGTTTCTTAAACGCGAATATGCACAAAAGCTCGATCTCGCGGACAGATAAGTCGCATGGTCGAGGCATGCGAGTTAGCTGAAAATTACTCTCGGTGGAACAATTCTGTAGTCATCGCCGCTTTTCTTAGATTATTAAAACCAATTAGAGTCTATTACTGTCTCTCCGAAGCTCATTGTTCCGGTTTTGAACGAAATCTCAGAAAAGAAAGTTTGACGTGAAAAGAACAAAAAACACCTGGAAAAGAAAACTATGCTCTGCAAGTTTATCTGCACCGGCTACACTTAACCGTCTCAGTTCAAATACCTATAAAATTGGTCATTAAACAAATGAAAATCTGTTAAATTGAATGCGTCTCCGTTCAGGCGGCCCGGCCGAGCCGACGCAACCTGGACCCAGGCGCCCCCTATAGGTCGCTGGAGTCGCGAATAGCATTTCGAAACAAGTTAAGGTCAGTGATAGCAGCAATAAAACTGGGGAGGTGGTTCCATTCTTGTGCTGTGCGAGGAAGGAAAGATGAGTGAGATGCCGTTCTTAATGAGCTTGAGACTCCGACTGTATGCTGATGATCCCTGTGAGTTGAGATGTAAATTTGGGGGGGGGGGGGGGGGGGGGGGGGGGGGGCGGGGCGGGCGGGCGGGCGGGCGGGCGGGCGGGCGGGGTGTTATCATCTGATCAGATAGGATTATTGAAAATAAATCTCATGAACTAAACATAAACGTTAAATTTTACTACGCAGAAAGAGAGATGGTAAAGATAAACCAACTTTTTATTGATGTGACACTTGCAGTGTGATGACAGTGCGATAGAATGAAACGAGCTGATAGATTTTGGATGGACTCTAATGCAGTGATGCGAATGTCACGACTGGGATCCCAGATTGAGGCTGCATATTCTAGCTTTGGTCTTATTAATGTTGTACAGAGAACCAATTTAAGTGAAACAGGTGCCAAAGAGAGGTTGCATTTTCCTAGCGTGCAGTTAGCACGAGTAGTCATACTGAATGTGGGGTCCCCATGAAAGGTCAGAGGTTATGCAAACATCGATACATATTTGTAAGATGATACTTGTTCTAAAGAATTGCCATCAAGGTAGTAAGTAACAAGGGCTATCATTTGGTTTACGAGACTCTCTCCTATATTTACGTTTATTAATGTGTAGTTCCATTAGCCACAGGTCACACCAAAGAAGAGACAGAGTTGATATCATACCTTATCGAACGCTTTAGCGAAGTCTAGAAAAATGCAGTCCACGTGAAAGCCACAGTCAACGATGGAATGAATGTCATGGGTGAAGGGAGAAGCTGTGTTTCACATGACAGTGATTTATGAAATCCCTGTTGTGCCGTGGTGAAGAAATTATTTGTCTCTAAGAAGTTCACTAGGTGAGAATAGATAATGTGCTCTAGAACTTTACATGGAATGCTGGTTAATAAAATAAGACAGTAGTTGTAGGGAGAATGTTCATCGCCACCTTTAGGAATAGGAACCATCTTCTCTACTGTCCGTCCCCAACCAGAGGGTAAAACACTTTCTCGGTGTGATTGGTCACATAATTTAACGACACTTAAAGATGAGTATATCTTCATATTTTAAAGAAACTTTGAGTGAATTCCATCCACTCCGATAAAGAAGACAACTTCAATTCGTCTTTTTATTCTCTAGAGGTACCAACAAGATCAATGAAAATAGCATGAATTGGAAGAAAGAGGTACACTTCATTAAATATCTATGTATATTGATAATATTTGAAGAGGCCTCAATAAATATGCCATTCATCACATTGGCACATTCGTCACTTAGCACGCTATCACCATTTGATGACTTAATGGCAATAGAAAAAAGTTTTTTTATTTTTTATTTTTTTTTTTTTGTTTGAGATTTTCCAAGTTTTGAGCTATTAGCTATCAACATCTTTGAGAGGCTATGTGTAAAATATTTTGATTTTGCATTTTCGAACGATTCCTTGTATGCTTCTGCAGAACACTGATACATAACCCAAGAACTTTTTAAGTTTTTTTTTTTTTTGGCAGAAGTCTTTTTATTGAAGCATTTGACAAAAAAGTTTTGTGAGTTCAGTGCCTTTTAAAGCTTTTTTTTTATGCTTTTTCATTAAATAGTATGCAACATTAAAAAGAAATGTTGACTAGAATGTTTTTCGGTCGGACACAGACTGGAGAGGAGACGGTGCAATGATAAGAGCATCCCCTACTATAAAATACATACCTGATACATACAAAATACATACCAGTATGCTTCGATTGTGCTTAACCTTGAAAGTGGGATTTCCAGTGACTGAAAACAGAAATTTATAGTCATGTGCGAATAGTGGATTTTGAGTTTGAAGCTAATAGTGATTTTGGCCAAAAGTTTTTTAATCAAATATTGAATAGTTTCTCTAGTCTTTCACTACTGCATCATTCTTTAACAAAACCCAGCTGAGCTCGTGAACATGGTTCCCAAGCTTCCACATGTTCATTGTTAAGCTAAGTTAATTTTAATCCAACTGTATTAATCGACTGTGGCCTCAGAAGTCCAGTGCCTACATTTGTATTATTTTACATAAATTAAACCCGCGGAGATGCTCAACTAGAATACATAATCGAGGGAATTTATAAATATTCTTTCTATATGCAAATATCCTTTCTTCAGTCATGAATGATTAATGTGGGTTGTCAGGGCCTCACCGCCTAACATGCTTATGCAAATAGCCAGATTAATTTAGAGAATTTCACTGCAATGTACATAGCAACGTTCACAAAGTTTCTCTTTCTTTTTAAATACACCAAGGTGCTTGTGTGCACCCTTCCGCTTTGAAGGTGAGCTTTCCTCCTAAGCAGGCAGCTGCAATACTTGTACTTTTCAGTTTTGATTGCTGCGTTTTAGCACCATTGAGTGCGCTTCTTACCGAGCGTTGGTGCACTGCGGGCAAACAACAGCCTCGAAAACGAGCTCCGTCTGTGTTTGTTGCTTTCCTGCAATGCATCGGTGCTCGGTAAGAAGCCCGCTCAACGAGGCTATCCTACCACGATCAACACTTCGGAAAATACGAATATTGCATTTCATATCGAAGCGAATATCGAATGACGTTATTGCACAACCCTAGAAATTTTACGAAATTAGGAGAGAAGGAAATGTTTTGAACACTGAACTCGTCAGATATTCGGTGTTATGTTGTTTGCAGTAGTATTAAATATGTAGCAATACTAACATACTGAACTAATTGTCTTGGAGGGAGTAGCTTTCATCAGCTCTCAATGTGGGCAAGTCTCAGATTTCTTGTCTGTGTTTAGTAGGCTGTTAATTGATGCTTTCCACAGAATGCTTCTTACTTTTGGTATGCCCCCATAAGTGATCATAACCTTTCTCGCCATTTCTCGCTGAATAAGAGTACATTACTAAACTACAGATTGGTAACTAGGTATGTTTTTGTACCTACGGTACAAACCTAGGTACACATACTTTTAGTTCTTGGTAACCATACTGTATCTTGGACGCCGACCTACAGAATCGTCTTCTGCCAGGAAGAAAATCGGTTCCCAGTTTCCTTCTCTCCCCTCTTGCACTCTTCTTCCCTCCTCTCCCCACAGGAGCAAGCCTCTGAGCAATTCTTTACAGAAAGGAGGAGGGTTCTCCCCTTCTTGACTGGAAAGGAGCAGTTGAGGCAGAGTTTCCTCTTTTCTGGCTGCTTGTGGGCTTTTAAGTTTAATTTCTAGTAACTAATGGCTACGACAGGTAACTTTTCTGTTATCACCATAAAAACTAGAGAAGTCTCATGTCTCCATGGGACGAGCCTGAATCATGCCCGAACTCTGCAGTCCAGACATTTCCTCGCATGAGCGTTTGATCCCAAGCAAAATGAAACATGGAAATCGATTTGATATTTGTAGGGAGTGTGTAAGATGAAGGAACTTTGAGCATGTTAGGATGAATAGATTTTTCCACAAACGTCCACAAGACCTCTCGGCACCCCCTATTGCGCCGTGTGGCACGAGGAATTTTGGCCAGTCAGATGTACGCTTGGGCAGACTGGTACGCTCCACACCTCCCGGAAGCAGAGCAATCCCTTATCTCTAAGATTCTGTGCTTTCGGAGTTTATTTCTAAAAAAATTCGGAAGGGTGTCTTTCGTAATTTAGTTTTTGCTGAAAATTCGGTGTTTATCGAAGTTTATTTTCGTTAGATTCCCAATTCTCTAAAATTCAAAGTTCAGTTTACTGTGTTCTCAATTTTCAAAAATTCAAAAACAAAAGAAAAAAGTTTGGGTACCATGATTCCATGACCTATTGTCTTGAAGGAACCTCGACGAGCTTAAAGGTCAACCTCTTTTGTCAGTAGTTCCATATCTCAAAGGAATCTGAAGTTGCACCTCCTCAGAAGCACTGACCTTGTGCTCTTATAGATTTTTATATATAGAACACACTCTTTCTTGCTTTTTTTCTTTTTTTTTGTTGTGACTTCGAAATTTGGAGTTTTTCAAATAAATCTGAATTGACAAAAAATTTACCGTCGAATGTTTTTCGGATTTTTTCGGGTTTATCCGTAAAAACGGAGCCCTACTTATTTCTTACCATTCAATGCAAAAACGCAAAGAAAGACAAAATGAACACATAACAGAGGCAATCTACATAGCCTGTTTTGTTATCATCCTGCCTTATTTGTGTTCTTAAATCGAAAAATGCTAAACCAAAAGAACAGCTTCTTCTCTTCATGTGTACTCCTTTATATGGTATTGATCAGATTCAGGAAATTTGTGGAGAAGATGCAAGAGGCACTGCATAGGTATTTCCACGATGGTTTATTGATTGCATGCCACGAGGCCAGGCCGATATTACACCATGACAACCAGAAAGGTGCTTTATAAATGACGAACACTTCTTGGGCTGTCTTCTCTGAAATTCTATGCATTGCTGCTGGTTATTTTACTTGGAGTTTGAAAGCTTTGCATTGAAACAAAGAAGTTAAAATGGCATAATCATGGCATATTATATTCTAATAATTGAACTCTGAGGAAGGTGTCTCACTCTTCTTCAAAATGTTTTGCAATTCAAATATATTGAACTGCAAATGACTAAATGTGTTTCTGCGAACACACACACATAAGTTCTTTCCTATCAACAATTTGTTATTTCTGAAAAATACAAAATCTAACCTCTAAAGTGCTTGCTGCTCTATTTAAAAAAACTCTTTTGTTATTCAGAGCCTCGTAAAGGTCTCTGACAACTGGCTAGCACAAACTTTCCATTCAGTGTATCCAAGCTGGCTACCAGTATTCTGTGTGGGAGTTCTTTCATTGTAATGCTACGTTACAGCTTCTCTGTCTCTGGTTTCAGGGTGTACCTCAACAGCTGGGGTCCGTGCTGCCAAACGGGTCACTACTCATTGAGCGAGTCGCCCACCACAAGAAGAAAAATGGGCGCAAGGACGACGGGGACTACTCCTGCCTTGCCCACACCAAGGCGGGCATCATGTTCAGCCCTCCCGTGCAGGTTAAAGTAGCACGTGAGTGGCCCTCTCTGCTGCGGTTGTGAGAAGCACCATTATTATTTTTGTTTGCAAAGCAAAATCAGCATAGTACTTCCTTCTACTCATGGACTTCCTAACCTGTTAGTGGGGGGAGCGTGTCTATATGGCAAGCGAGTCAACCAAAACATGTCTCTTCATACATGAGAGCGGAGGACAGAAAGAGAGAAAGAGAGGGACTGATGTCAGGTGCGACCAGGCTCCACCTCGCAGACTCCTGCTCCATTCCAGATATCGTTTGAACGAATCCAAATCACTCTGGCAAGTAACGTCGCTTGACGATGCAGTTAGAGCAACACTGGTTTTTGAACGCCGAGGTAGAAAACTCTGCCCTAGTGTGAGATCGAGCAAATCTTGAAGCAAGGACCCCGTTTTCTTTGGTCTTTGGCAGACATCGTCTCGGCCGCGAGTTCTTTATTCGTTGTAGCTTATCCGCTATATTCACGGACAAGATGAGAATGGCAGGGTGCCTTTTTCGAAAGCAAGGCTTCCCCCTCTCGCTTGTTGCCTTTTGCTGTGCTTTGGCCGTACGTGCACGCTCGAGGCTCATGAGACATTGAAGCGTTATCAAAGGTAGGAAGCTTGCACTAAAGGCAGTACAACCGAAACTCCTCTTTGTCGTTCTCATCTTGTTGGTGACTACAGTTGTTACTCGACAAAACCACATGCAGCTGCGATTCGTGCGAAGCTGAACGCGCAATCATTGACTGCTCCACACCTGCAGCAGCAGACGTGGCGGCACCTATGGGTGTCAGCGTTCTGTGACATTGTGAAAAGCAATCGACAACCCTGTCTTCACCTTCATATGGATTATGATTCTACCAATTGCTATGACTAGGTGCCCTGATGCCACAGCAATCCTTGTGCAAGGAACAGGTGAACTTTCTCCTATCTTTGTGTCTACCCACTATTATGCCCCAGTCATAGCTCGACACTGGGAAACTCTGCCCGTGTGCTTACCAATCTGATTGAAGTATGGCTCTGTGACATCGAGACCATATATGCAATAAATGGACATAATTGCTCGTCGTACGGGCTCTTTGGACTGGTAGAATTCACTTTTAGTTTTCAGTGTCATTGCATAGGAACATTGTTCAATAGCCCATGGGCTGCATGTAGGCTGAGTGGTTTCAGTCTGCTATGATCTTGGAAGCATACTAGTCTTGATGAGCCACAACCCAAATAGCAGGGTTGTGACTCATCGGTGTGTGACCCAAGTATATTTGTACTCAATGCCACTGACCGAGGGGCTCCTATATCGTGGTGTAGTTTCAAGGTTAAAGGTGGACTGTTTCCTTCAGTCTCTCTTTTGCAAAATGGGACGATGTAGTCATAGGGATTATCTCTTCGTGACTTTAGTCGAATGCGGCTCAGGGATTGGACACAAGTACTGTGTGAGCATTGGCTTGGGCTCGTAATGTAAATGCCTTGGCAAATGTTCAAATGGTGGCTCGTGCCCAATGGCTGTGGTGGGAATTGCGCCCAACTCTAACAATATCTTAAGCTCAATATGTTCCTTGTGCTTCGCCAACCCCAGCTTGTGGCTTTCTGTGATGAACATGAGTGGCATATAATCCTCACCAAATTGTGTGGCCACTTGCTTTGGCTGAGAGTTGAGGGAGTGAACGTTATTCTATATTATCGTTTTGCGAGTAGCACTGTGTGGAAAGGGAAACTAATGCATATTTTGTAAGTTTTGCAGTGATTACTCGTCGCCAAAATGTAGTGATTACTCATTGCCAAAATGTTGTATAAAAAAAAGGCGGTCACTTGAGAAAATAAAAGGGGTCGCAGGGCCTGCGTGGGCCTTCGGAAGAGACGAGGTTCTTACATGCCGAAGTGGTGACCGGTGAGCCGGGGGCGCGGGAGCCCCGGAAGGAGTGAGACGTTCGATACGGTCGGTGGCTGAAGCATACTCTCGTTTATTCAACGGTCAACAACATGGGGGTCGAGCGCCCCGGGGACACGACCCTAACAACACGGGCGCAATGGTGAACAGTGGCGCCATCTAAATAGTGTGTAGAGAAGTTGCGAAAAATTTAAATACAACAAGTTTCAAGGATTACTTCTAAAGAGTATGTACTGAAAAATGGAAAAATTGCTAGATAGCGATTTAATTTTTCTTTTGTAATCTTACTGTTTTTGACAATTTAGACACAGTTTAATCAACAGGCTTACTGCTGGGCATGTGATTTATGAAGCAAATGCCCAATGTTTTGATCGGTGTAGTGCCAACACAGTTTATTTTTTATTATTTTGAAATCATGGGGTTTAAATCATAATTGAAATATTAAAATAATTTATTTTCACATTTCAACATGAAAAGGGGGGGGGGGGGGGGGGTGCTGCTGATGAAAACCGCCGATCGAGCAACTCGACATGGTCCTCAGCCCTCCCCACCCCCCTCCACAAGGCAGTGGCAGCGGCAAAGAAAAAAAGCAAGGTGTTCATACGATAGCTCATACACAGTAAAATAGACTAGTATATACAAAGTATGGCATTAACAACAAAACAAACCACAAAAAAAAAAAATAATTGATTTGAAATTTGGCAACATTACCATAATAAATGTAACGAAATATTTACATTAAAATTATACAAAGGATACAGACATAACTGGGACATTACGATAAAGTGCATTTGAGTCGTTAAAGGACAGTCTTTCAGATAAAATGGATTTTTTTTTTTGTGAGTTTAAAATGTTATGCTTGGTCCATTTGCAATTTTTACAAGTAAACACCAACATTTGGTACTACAGCGTGAATGTCTCGATTTTTGTTGGTGGCATCATCAAAGAACGCCACCTCTGGAGTTTTAGAGTCGATTGCATATGCATCAAGATATTAAGTCAATCACCTACGCCGACAGAATGAAAAGGCAGGGCGTGTCTTTCGAACGCCCGGCCTCCAGCATGCACTACATGCATTCTGCTGTGCTTTGGGGATGCTTGCATGCCCGAAGTGCATGAGATGCCAAAGTGATCTCAGAAGTAAAAAGCCTGCTTTGGAGGCAGGACAGCTAAGGCTCCTCTCTGCTGTTCTCACCTTGTCAGAAGATATAGGACCGTTGCTTACTCTGGAGAAACATTCCAGGATGTTTTAATCGGAAGTATAGGGGGCCACACACTTTTGGGCAACGTCCTCACCAAAACACGTTCTCTCCCAGGCATGGCCAAAGGGTTCACGGAAGAGCCGCGGCCGGTGAATGCACCTGTGGGCGGCATAGCCAGGTTTGCCTGTCACATCGGGGCCGTTCCCCCAGCACACTACACCTGGCAGCGCAACCTAGAAGACCTCCCATTTGGTGATCCAAGGTAACTGGCACACTTACCCATGTTTCTTAGGACGTTCTGTACCTCTTCATGAGCGCTCTCACTTGTTGAAGCATTGACATTAGACTGCAAATGAAGAGAGTAATTTATCTGGACCAGTAGTAGTTGGTTGCATTGACTGTATGAGACAGTAGGCCCTTTTAGAAATTCAGTCAGACCATTCTGGTCACTATCTGACGTATGGCATCTATGCCATATTAATGGTGACCTTCCGGTGACTGATGAAAGAAGTTGAAGATGTGCTAAGAACAATGATGTGAGACCTATACATTTGAGACATTAGTACAACGCGACGCATAAATTAAATACGAGCTGCATAAGTACTCATTCCTAACTCGGGTCCAACCTATCTGTTGGCACCTGATTGGCCCTAAAGCTACTTGATATATCGGACATTCCATGCCAAACGTTCCAGACAGTAATACTGGCCATCACCGATTTCTTTGAAAAAAATTATAGTTAACTAGACTCAAGTAGAATTTTGCAAAAATATTTTTCTAGACAAAACATTCTTTATGACATGAGCGCTTTCTGAAATTTCTGCAATGAAGCCGAAGTAGGTATGAGTTACAAATCTCTGAAAAACCTAAGTGACTAAAACGGGATAGGTCAATTATTTTCAAATGCTATGGTGAGGTTGTTCTTTCATGTGGATGCCAGAGATTGTATTATGTAATAGCTTTTTATGTTAGTTTGGTTGCAGTGAACAAGCTTGAAACGAGACACATTTTAAAGCAGAAAGCACTGTTGACCTTAAAGATATTCTAAAACCTTCTCTGGGTTGAACTTATGTTATATTTAGAGCTCCGTGTTTTCGGATAAATCCCAAAAACTCCGAAAAACACCCGCCGGTAAATATTTCGTCAATTCGGATTTATCCGATAAACTCCGAATGTTTTTGTGCCAATGCCACCCCCTCCCCCCCCTTCCCCCCCAAAGCAAAAAAAAAAAAAGAAAAAAAGAAAAAAAAACTTTTTTTTTTTTTACAATCTGTTTAGCACGGAGTCAATGGTCCTGTGAAAATGGCACCATAATTATCTTTCAAATCTCAGACCGTTGTCAAAAGGCGTCTTGCCGCTTGTCTAGTCGAGGTTGATTCAGGGCAACAGGTCATTCATTGTACATTTGGGTCATGACAAAAGCTACTCTTTTGATTTCCAGTTGGAGCCATCCGATTTGTGATTTGAAGAAAGGAGAAGTTATGTTTTTGTAACAGTGAAAGCTAGGGACCATAAAGATTGTATAAAATTGGGAAGAGGGGCAGTTGAAACTTCTCTGTGACATCCTTAACCACCCCACCTCGCACGGTCGCAGGATAGCTTGATGGGATGACTACGAGCTTCCTTGCGGCTACCTCCGGCAGTTTATTGATTTTAAGGTATCGACGTTTATCGAAGCCACACTTGTGTGTGACTTTTTTCGTGGCACAAATTAATAGTGCCAATGGCAATGGCACAACGTCAAATTCAACTGAAGAAATTTTAATCGATTCAAGCGCGTGTTATTTTTTATTTGGCATACGTTTACATCCGGTTATTATTTACATATTTATTTTCAATAGGAAACACTGTAAAATTAAACTCCGAATTTTGGAGAATTGGCAATCAAACAAATGTAAACTCCGATAAACTCAGAATCTTCGGCAAAAAATAAACTCCGAAAAACAACCTCCGATTTTGACGAAAAATGAACTCCGAAAACACGAGGAGCCCTAGTTATATTTTACACTTAAAATTATTTGAGAATGATAAAGCCAACTGGTTCCCCCCCCCCCCCCCCGATTCCGAGTCAAGAGGTCCAACGAGTCAAAAGATCCAACACGTCAAAAGATCCATTATTGGACCTTCTGACTCGTTGGATCTTTTGACTCGTTGAACCTCTTGACTCGCCGTGGATCTTTCGACTCGTTGGACATCTTGACCCACATTGGATCTTTTGACTCGTGTTGGGCGAGGCAAAAGATCCATTATTGGATCTTTGACTCGTTGGACCTCTTGACTCCCTGTCTGATAACGGGGAAAGGGGGGGGGGGAGGACTTCGAAGACGGAACAAAACAGCAGGAAAAGAAATAAAAGCAAAACAACGAATGACGGCTTTGGGGTGGCGAGGAGGGGGTGACGGTCACTGCACTGCAACGGGGCGGGATCCCGCGAATAATAACAAGACAAAAAAAAGATGATGGGAGAAGATTATGCAGTGGCCTCGGGAACGACAGGTTTCGGGATCCCAAATGGGTGGCTGAGTCACGGCGTTGTGCTTTTTCCATTTCAATCGGCTGGTGACCAATGTCATCGCTTCGTGCTGTATGCTTGACTACCGCAGGAATTTGCCAATAGTTTTGCGCGCTGTACTAGCTTGAAAGTCGCTACACAAATGCACACGCACACACTAAAAGCGCAAAGCCGCGAGGCACTCTGATTGATTAAACTAGCCGGTAATAACATGCACAAAAAGTCGTCGAACGCTATTAATACACCTCGCAAGTGGGCTCATTTTCGTCTTCTGCGCATGAGAAAGGAAGTAGCGGTAACGTCAGAACGCCGAGCCCTGATTGGCTGATCGTGACCCCTTATCTGAGCGTCGTCTGCTCCTTTGCAATGTCGCCTGCGTCTGTCTTACCTTTCCTGCGACTTTCGGAAGGGCAGGTCTTTACGAGCGAGCTCGACTTCGCCTTTCAGAGAGGGCAGACGAAATAACTTGAGTGGTACGTTGTTTTTGACTAACAACTAGCAGACGCGCATCAAGGAGAGAAGTCAAAGGACTCACTGGCGAGGTGTCCCGAGGCGCCGAGGTTTGTTTGCTAAGAACCGAGAGCGAGGGTGGTTATAGTGTCCGCAAGTTCCCTCCCAAATACTTTTTCCCTCCTTTCGTGTGCGGCGAGACTCCCCACTCTTTAACGGCGTCGGCGGGTTGGCGCAGTTAACGTCGTCTGCTTTACGTCTGCTAGTCAAAGCGATGGCTGCTTTACCTTTTCTGCGTCTGTCGGAGATTCACCGCTTTTTCACTGGCGAGAGTCACCGCTGCCTCGGAAAACAAGGAGATGACAAGAGAAAGAGATTGACCTCTTAATCTAAAATTGAGGTCAGCGATCAAAGTATAATACGGGAAGGGTTAGCAAGGGTTCACAAGGGTCGCGTGGGCATATTCCATTCAGCACGCCAGCCGGTCGTGGGCAGACGGCATACCTCGGCAAATTCATTCATGAAATCGCTCATTCACCTTCATTCACATTCACGGCGTGAATCTGAATGGCTCTGAATGAATTCTTCAATTTGAAGAAAATCATGATGTGATGGTGAATGACTTTGTGAATTTGAATGAAATCGTAATGCTATGGTGAGTGAATTCGTGAGTTTGAATGAATTCGTGATGTGAGGGTGAATGAAGTCGTGAAGTCGTGATGTGATGGTGAATGATTTCGTGAATTTGAATGAATTCGTGATGTGATGGTGAATGAAGTCGTGATGTGATGGTGAATTATTTTGTGAATTTGAATGAATTCGTGATGTGATGTTGAATGAAGTCGTGATGTGACGGTGAACGACTTCGTGAATTTGAATGAATTCGTGATGTGATGTTGAATGAAGTCGTGATGTTATGGTGAATGACTTTGTGAATTTGAATGAACTTATGATGTGTTGTGATTGTGAAGGACTTCGTGAAGTGAATAGAATTCATTGTGATGCGAATGACTCAATGAATTCATGATGTGATGGTGAATTGCTCGTGAACACGATGAATTTGTGATGTGCGTGGCTCGTGAACTTGATAAGTTCGTGATGGAAGTAATACCATGAACTTAATTCTCGACGTGATAGTGAATACGATTAAGAATTCAGAATAGGCGGAAAACATGTTACGCAGGCGCTTGCTTGCTTGCGGGTTGTTTTCATCCTTCACCGCAAACAACAGGGACCCATTTGACTTTTAGCGGTTCGGGCATCAGTCTCGCTGCGTAGCCGTGCGCGCCTCTGCGCGGTTGCCCTTTGTCGAGCACTTTCGTAGTAACAGCTGTTTATAAGGGAAGTGCGGTGCCAGTGGCAATGAAGCGGAGGGGGGCTAATCGTTTTATTTGGCACTTCACGTTTAATTTTGCCATTGTTCTGAGCGGTTCCTCGTGAATCAATTGAGCTCCTTGCCGACCTTATCCTTCCGTGTCTCGGGGCATATGGTCCGGAATCCCTGAAGGCTCTCGCTGTGCCGTTTCGCTCGTGAGTAGTGCGTGGCGCATCCGCGCTGTCCGCGGGTCTAGTAGCAGCAGGCGCCGCTTCGTCCACGCGGCGCAGCCATATGTCGTTTCAAAAGCAAGGACGTTTAAACAGACAGGACCCGGCATGACGTCAGCCTGAGTGAAGCCAGAAGATGCGTTTAATCCCAGACTGCCTTGCGCACCCGTTCCGAGGCCGTGGGGTAGCGCACCGGTGGTTCGTCTGCTTTCTAATCTGCTCCGGCGTGTGCTTCACGAGGCTAGCTTTCGATGCGGTCGGCGTCCGCCGTGGGCGTCCACAATGCAAATGCTGTGCAGCGTGAGTGTTTATACTTAGTTCCACATTATGTGCGAGCGAAGTCAGAACTGGAAGCGCGAGCCCGTTGTTCTGCGCGCTCCTAGCTTGCATGCGCGCTCGTGCGATCTGCTGCTGCTGTTTATTAAAAAATGCGTTGCGCACCGCCAAGTCCTTCACGGTGCGTCGTCTAGAGCGTCTCAATTCTAGTCACTTACTTTCTGCTGGGCAACCAGGCGGTTTAAGTCACCCGTTAAGCGCTGTTTCAAATAACAGTGGGTGCCGCCATTACTTTTGGTGCACACGGTCGCGTTGCCACGGAAATGTCATCGCAATGCGGTTGTTTGCACCGAAATTAATGGCGGCGCCCACTCACTAGGCTTCCCATTGGTCAAGAAATGCTTGTTGCGGCTCGTGGCCACGCCTACTTCCGTTACACTTCGCTCCATGCATTGGGGATAGGGACGCCACCTCCTGCC